TATCGTTAAAATATTTAGCTATTATTGGACGATACATTAAATTATAAAATCGTCATATTATTTCACTTCCTACAAAAAAAATAAAATTCGATGCAGCATCAATAATATTCGCCTATCGGAAATTGTACATTCTAAATAAATACTCAACGTATATATTACACATAAATCAAAATAATTATTTCTTTTCTTGTGAAATAACTAATTATATGTTAAAGAATAAAAATGCACACAATTTTCAATATGTATACATAGTTTGTAAATATTTTACTTATGCACAGTATTTAATAAAGTAAAAAAATACGATGTTATAATATCTCGGTACGATTTTTCATGGAATTGTTATAATTATTATGGAATTGGTCTTTTCGATGAATTATTATGACAACTATTTTATTATGAGTTTAAAAAGTAAAACGGCGTGCCATAGATACCAGTATTATATAACAGAATCAATTATTGCTAAATGATGTTAATCAGTATACCTGAATTTAGGTTACCAGTAAAAATATTGTTACTTGAACAAATTTTGTTATTTATTATAAGGATATTCATACTGAAGTATACACCAGTAGAGTCAATTGTAAAATGATACTTGACACCACGTATGAATGACATTTATTATATTTGTATGAGTGGATTATTGTATGGTATGACTGCAACCAAAGTAAATCTGGACTTAGTTTTTTTACCCAGGTTACAGTCAAGCAGGGTGGTGTAACGATGTTCGCCATCGTCTAGGCTCGGGTAGCCTCGGGCGTAGTCGGACAGAACAACAGCATGGCCGCTGAAGCTATATAAGCTCGCGTAACCATGCTGTCGTAGCTTTTTTTAGATTCTAATTCTAAACTATAGGCCTCTTGCCGCCTCTACCTGTCAGAAGCCTATTGTGCTTTAGCTCAATTTACCAGAGTTTGCCATTGTAATTAACAATTATTAGTCTTTTGTACTATTGCAGTCTCGTTGCTAATTGAATTACGAGTATCTCTAACTCCTTTTGAATGGATAACCAGTAAATTGAGCAGGCAGAGAGTAGTTTTGGTTATTTTGTAATAAATAATCCGTTTTAGTTATTTTGTAATAAATAACCCTGTTTTGGTTATTTTGTAATAAATAATCCTATTTTACTTAATTGATAATCTGAGCAATATAAGTAAAACTATATCAGTTAATTTAGTCTAGTTTGAATTATACTGATTTACTACGTGTTGAAGAGTGAATTGAAACGGAATGTTTTGTTTCCCTTGGTCGCCCCTTTTCTCTTAAGGGCGCCACTGGATTTTTGTTCTCAGTTTCCAGAAACTGGACCAGAACATGGAGTGCTAGGTCAGGGTCGTGAGAGAATTGCTGAAAGGAGCTAGGATTAAAACACAGAAATTCATTTAACAAAAATTATTTATTTATCCAATCCCTCTTACAATTGAAATATGGCCAGTATTACAATATATAAAACTTCATGGATACAATCCACACTCACACTCACACACATACGGTATATTTCGCGCTGTCCAGCTAGACCCTCACGTGGTTGCAGTCCCCGATGCCTACTGGACTCTCACGGTACTCTATTTACTTCGCGTCGTCCCCTGGACCTCTAATACTACTCTAACCTAGTTCGCGCGGTCTCACGGACTCTCACGCCACTGAGCTGGACCTCTGACGTGACTGCACACGTTGTCCACACAGCGCACGCTGTCCCCCAAACTTCACGCTACTCTAAGAGAACTACCCCGAAGCCAGAGGAGTATACCATGAAACCGAGATAGTCTCTTTACTCTCACACAAACACACTATTTTCCAAATTCCAATAATAACAATAATAATAAGAGCGCTCAAATTACAAAATAAAACAATTTCCATAATATTATTTATCTAATTAAATTTTCCGAAATTCCGGTTTATCCTTTTCCGAATTTCAAATACAATTAACAATTTCTTACTTTCTAAATGACTCTTTTAAATTTCGAGGATTAAATCCATTTTGTGTCCGAGTAATTTATTAATTAAATTTGATCTTTATAAATTTCCGTTTTGAGTAAACTTAAATTTCGTACATTATTTAATCCGATCCAAATTAATTTATTCCAAGTTATTTTATTTTTTCCAGTAATCGGCATTACATTTTACTAGATTTATTATTCGACGCAAAAGTTAAATTTCGACAAGAGATTATCCTATTGTATTATATTTTGTGTTTTCTTAAAACTTGACATTTTATTTTACTTGAGTTTATTTTACTTCAAACTAAGAGACTTTAGTTGCGACCTTGTGTGTCCTCTACTCAGCGTTTTCTCGCACGGACAAGATGGCTGACGCTCTCGCTCGGTCTAGCGTCTTTGTCGCAGGACTCATGTAATTTTTTTTTCTGACGAAATTTTTGCAAATTTTTATATTCTAATTTCTTTTTACTAAATAATTTAGATTGACAATTCTATTGATTTAATGGCTATTTCCTGAATCTAGATTTATTTCATTTACGCCAAATATTAAATAATGCTCCGAATAATTTATTAAAATCATTTTACTGTCGAATTAATTCCTGTCTTAAATAATTTTAATTTAACGGTTTACTCAATTCTATTTTCTATTGGCTTAAGCCAAATTATTGTTTATCAATTCTCAATTAAATAAATTTTACACATGGCGAAAATCTGGAATTAATAACCTGACTTAATGCCTAGTATTATCAATCCAGACAGGCCTACGTGTAAAATACGTAATAACAGATACAGGTTACTTTATCTAAACAAATCAATTAATAAACCTAGTACTATTAATTATTTGTCTTATAATTTTTCTAATATTAATATTAAACTTAATTAAATAACATAATGACTAGCGATTGTGACCGAACGCGAAATGGCGGTGACCTTCAGCCGACGTGTTGCCTGGCTGAGGCCGCCGACCCGAGCAATATAATCAGACATGATAATTGTACCTGGAGTTTTACGTTTTATTATCTTAACACTCGTGCACTCCCTCGACGAGCTGTAACTCCTTTTTACAGGCTGGTGTAAGTTTTTCCTTGGAATAAATCCTCGGCAATTATCTCCTCGGGTTACTGGTTGGCGGCGAAATTTCGGTCACCATCACTCGTGCTCTGGATATCTCTCTTGAACCTGTAACCGCAAATCGGCGTTAGAATTTATTACAAAATTAAAATTAATTTATTCAAGCTGACAGGCGGCCTAGCAAGCAATAAATCAATTAATTTTTTATCGCTTCGTTCCACTTAAGGTGAGCGAAATAAAATAATTACCTGTGCTCAGTTCTTACTAAAAGTTGCGATGTGTCCAACGAGACTGTTCGGTCACAATGAGTTTTCTCGGTCTTGTCGTTGTAGTTATTTCTTCACTCTGCCTTCCCCACTCTCTCTCTCGGCGCCAGCGCTTCCCCCTCGGGGACTTACTTACTACTTCTAAACAAGCTTTAGATCACAGCGCACTGTGAGCAGTCGATAACTAACTAGGTACTGAAATGGGGAATTTACCGAGTAACGATCACTCCGTTACAGAATGTTTGCTAAGTTGAGCAACACGTGGTGATGTAATTATTCAGTATTATTGAATAAATCATTTATTAAACGAAGATCCAGTTTATTATTATGTTCTTCGTCCACATCATCCAATTCCAGGCTAAGGTTAAGGTTGATTTCACGACAACGTGTAGCAGAGCCGCATTCCAGTTCATACCAGGAAGCAGACCATCATCTCGAACTCCAACTAAGTCGAATACTAAGTATTGGTGTTGGTAATTTAGTTAATTGTGAGGCATTAGTTCGAGGTATTTATAATTAGACCTAGTTGTTACCCGAGTCTCGCCAGCCGGCAGAACTCACACTTGAAACGAACCCTGGAGGGCTAGAGTCTAATTCAGTAATTTTCCAGTTCAATTATTAATTAAGTAAACTAATTATCAATCAATCTAATTAAACTGATTTCTAAAATCCACAACGTTTCAAGACGTACTGCGTAAATACTAACAGGTTGGTGACTGTTGATCTCTGCTTGAAGAAGCCATGTTGAGCTTCTGAGATATGAGGTTTAAAGAATGCTAGGAGTTTATCATAAATTAACATCTCAAAAATCTTTGCGACTACCGAAATAATAGAAATTGGTCTGTAATTTGTTACTAGCGCGTTATCACCTGATTTAAAGATCAGGCATACTTTGGACGATTTCCACACTTCAGGAAAAGTGCCTTTACATAAACAAAAATTAAATATAGTTTTAAGAGGTTTGACAAAACATCTGGTGCAGGACTTAACCATGGAGCAAGGTATATCATCAAGTCCTGTGTTCATCTTATCTGGTAGTTTTTTTATGCTGTCTAGGATCGCATCATCAGTAAACTGTTCAATTACACCTAATATATCCTTCTGTCTTACTTTCAACTTAATATTATTAGCAATAGTACTGTCATCCTGTAAAAATACGCTACTGAAGTGTTCTGCAAATAAAAAGTTTAAAATTATCAGGAACGTGGACCAAGGGTAAAAACAATTGTTACGTTTTCAAATGTTGCAACGTTTCGTTGTTATTTACAACTTCTTCAGGCAAGCTGTTTACAGAGAAAAACAATAATATAAAAACATGTAAAACAAATGACAGAATACAATTTGAAAAAATAAATTCTTACATTTGAAGTTAACATTTATGTAATAATAATAATTTTCTGAAACACTTCATCGTTAATTAAAGTAATGAATGAAGGAGAAACTACTTAATATAATACAGTATTACAAACAAATTTAAGAGCAAGTATAACATTTATCAGCCAAGTAACTAATTGATAAACAAAAACATGCTACTCGAATCAGCTGTCAAGTGAAACTAATAAAACCACTGTGGTAACAGTAATTCATACTATACATTCTGTTATACCGACTGCAAAACAAGGTGTTTACAAATGATCCTAGTTTCTTAGTCAACATTGAAAATAAATTCTAATTAAAAAACTCTTTATACAAACAGCTATTTAAATAATTAATAACTTAATTCTCACTATCTAAATAAACATTTAACCGACTCAATAATGTCACAGTAAGAAGAACTCAAACTCTGAGTGTCAGACCTGTAATTTACGCAATCAAACACTTTAATGAAAAACATATTCTTGACTCTGTCAACAGTACCTTTTTGACACTTATCCACAACTGAGCGTGGATAGTTGTTATTCAGCAATAGGTGTCTAACTTTGTTTATACTTATAGAAACCATACTCTCATGACTTAGGCGTATAGCTCTATTGAAAAAACCTTGTGCTACACCTAACTTCTGGCTTAAAGGATGATTAGATTTAAAATTCAGGACTCTCTCAGAACTATAAGATTTTTGATACCAAGAAGTTTTGAGTTCACCTGAATCTGTTCTGCATACCAGGACATCCAAAAAAGGAAGTTTTTCATCAACTTCATTCTCAACTGTGAACTGAATGTCAGCATCAACTGAATTGAAAACTTGTAAGACGGTATCCACCTTATTCTTTGGAACCACTAAGAAAAGATCATCAACATACGCTGCTAAAACTGGAATCTCAAAGTCCGAATTCTCCAATGCTTTCGATATTACAAAATCCACTGCAGTGATGGCTATTGACGGACTTGCCGGGCTGCCCATCCCACATCCTTCTTTTTGTAGGTAATAATTCTTTTGAAACAAAAAATGTCCGGAATCAAAACAAAAGTTCACCAGATCAATAAATAGATCACGATCCAAATTCACAAACTCCTTCATATCTTCCCATCGGTCGTCAATAATCTTGATAATTAAACTTCTCTTGACATTAGTGAACAATGACACAACATCAAGGGAAATCAGCTGGTAATCATTATTTACGACAATCGATTTGATCCTATCAACAAACTGATATGAATCTTTCATATTGAACTTGAAACTCAGTACAACCGGGGATAAGACCTTATGTACAAATCTAGATATCTCATAACCCGGAGAACCAATGTTACTTACTACTGGTCTCAATTTACATCCAACTTTATGCGTTTTCCTTAACCCGTATAACCTGGGTGGTAAAGCGTTGTAAGATCTCATTTGTTTACCTTTAATCTCATCAATAAAGTTTTTATCTTCGAGTTTTTTAATTAACGCATTCGCCGACGTTTGTAATCTTGAAGTGGGATCCACTCTTGTCTTGATGTAAGTGCTCTCATCTGTGACCATAGTATTCATTTAATCCAAATATTCCTGTTTCCGCATCACTACAGTATCATTCCCTTTATCAGACCTTGTCACTATTAAGTCGTCGTTCTCTCTTAAAAAATCTCTAGTCAATTTAACGTCTTTACTATTAATATTAGGATCCTTGACTCTTCTTGATCTTCTTCTATGCTGATTCTTTAAATAATTAGTGATTATGTTACCACCTCTCGCTCTTAAATTATTTCTAAACTCATTCAGTTCATCATTATTGAAATCATCTATTTTAACCTTACATAAACAACCTTCGAAGTCTTTGATGACATTTACAATCGGTGACTTATTCGGTGGTGGAACTAGCCCGAAATTACCATCCAAAGTTAATATTCTACGGACAGGGTCAGGAAGAATGTCATCCGTGAAGTTAAAGATCTTCATATCACCAACTGACGTATTATTGTCAATCGATTGACTGAGTAGATTGTTAAACTTTCGAATATTGTTGTTTTTCACCTTCGTAAAATTCCAATTGTAATAATTGCGTAATTTACACTGTGTTTGTGTCCACAAGGTGTTTGGTAAGAGGTCACGTAGTTAATCTTGTAGCCTTTCAGACTCCAGGAGAAACTGGTGAATCTGCCAAATCGTGATTTTTATCTCCAATTTTAGCATTTTTCTCCTGGTATTATCTAGCAAGACACTAACTTCTCTCTTAAACGGATGATCAACTAGACAAACTGAGTAAATATAATCAATCTTATTAAAAATATGAGATGGAAAAATACCATTGGATCTACATCTCAACAGAAAAATTCTTCTATTATTCAAGTTACTCATTTTCTTTTTAATTGTAGTCAGTCTTTTCAACATAATACATGTATCCATACCATAAGCTTCCTCCACACATCTAAAGAATCCTCTCAGCGATGGTAAATTATTTAAATTACTTTCATCCATGATATAAATAAAAAGTTTAAAATTATCAGGAACGTGGACCAAGGGTAAAAACAAATGTTACGTTTTCAAATGTTGCAACGTTTCGTTGTTATTTACAACTTCTTCAGGCAAGCTGTGTACAAAGAAAAACAATAATATAAAAACATGTAAAACAAATGACAGAATACAATTCGAAAAAATTAATTCTTACATTTGAGGTTAACATTTATGTAATAATAATAATTTTCTGACACATTTCATCGTTAATTAAAGTAATGAATGGAGGAGAAACTTCTTAATATAATACAGTATTACAAACAAATTTAAGAGCAAGTATAACATTTATCAGCCAAGTAACTAATTGATAAACAAAAACATGTTACTCGAATCAGCTGTCAAGTGAAACTAATAAAACCACTGTGGTAACAGTAATTCCTTAGGGAAGTACTGTAGTCTTTTTTGCGCAGCCTGGATGAAAACTTACTGAGCATATTTTACAAGGAACCGGAATAACATTAACTATTGTGCTGTTGCAACCTTTGCATTTTTTGGCCGTGCCCGCTGGACTGTCGTGAAATTTCGGCATGATTAGAAAGTATATTATTAGACTTCTATCAGATTTTTGAGCTCGGAGAGCTCAAAAATGTCATAACTTCTATTTTGAGTGCTTAAGTATGGAATTAGCGGTAAGTTGTACGGATGGCCTTTAGGCTCAACCCTTTTCTTAATTTTTTTCCGTGCAAAAAATGTTTCCTTTCAAGGAAGCGACCAAATTTTTGAGAATTTCGAGTTCGAAAATGTGTACAGGTTGTGTTAATACGTTCGAAAAGCCCACATGTAGCAGTAAGTTGTTGGGAAAGCCTGTAGAATAAACCGTTTTCTCAATTTTTTCCAATTTTTCTACTTTACCATGCTCCAATAACTGGATTGGTGTCAAACAAGATTTATTTTATTTTGATGGAAATTACATCTGTAAATTAATGACCACTTATTTGAACGTTCTAAAGAACTGTTTTGCTCGCCTATTTTTTAATTTTTAAACATAATAATAAATTGATTTTGCAGGTGGCGTGGATGCTGTTTGACAAGAGTGCTATATTAACTGTACATAATCATGTAATTACGAGGAATCCACGAATATCTGTCACTCATGACAAGCATAGAACGTGGTATTTACATATTAACAACGTTCACGAAGATGATAAAGGGAAATATATGTGTCAAATTAATACAGCAACAGCAAAAACTCAATACGGTTTTTTAGATGTAGTCGGTGAGTAATTAAACGATGTCTTACCTCAATTTCTTATTTGTTTAAAATTTAGAACAATACTTTGTACACAATTTAACCAGGCTAATCTATATGGGGCATTCCATGCCAAATCACCGAGGTTTTGACCCGACCCCTTCTATTTAACTGAAACTTTTCTATTATTTTTTATCCTACTAAAGACATTTTTCTGAATTTTTTTACCTAACCCAAAAAAAGTTACGAATTTAAAAAAAAAACCACTCTTTTTTGAAGTTATACTTATTTTGACGCGATGGAGAAAAATGATGAGAGTGAATTTTTACGATGCGCGCGCACACCGACACCTAAATTAACAGAATGAAGTTGGCCACAGAATAGAATTAAAAGTATATATTTTTGAAGTTATACTTCTTTTGGCGCGATGGAGAAAAATGATGAGAGTGAATTTTTACGAGGCGCGCGCACACCGAGATCTAAATTTAACATCGTAAAGTTAGTTCTAGGTCGTATGAAAATTGATAACTATGTTCAAGTTGTATATTCTAGTATTTTTATATTTAAAACACGTGTTTCGTAACAGTACAATTAAACAGCGTGAATAAATAAATATTATTTTGGTGTTTTTTGATTTTATTTTTAGTAATTAGATTAGAACAAAAAAATATGTTTTAAAAATTGCACTTACAGTTTTTGAAGTTTTTTTACAAGTGAAAATTTTTTTTTTATTTTTTTGTAATCATTTTTTCAATAAAAAAAATTCTAAGAATTTTTATATGTCAGCTAACATAATTTTCATAATAATTAAAATATTTTATAACGATCGATTGTAAACTATTGATACTTTGCAGCTTCAAAATTAGTTGATTTAGAAAAATTTTAAATAATATTGAATTAAATTCATATGATAATTAATGATTTTATATTTATACGGTATAGCTAAATTTTTACTATCATAAAACCTATTTGAATTTTTTTAACATTTTTCTTCCATCATTTTTGCATTTTGCACGACTCATGATGCGAAGCATCAGAGAGTGCTTTACGATCAAAAAATTTTTTTCGCCTCATTTTGGCAGCTATTTTTATTATTATAGCCTTGTTAGTTCAAGGAATCAAGATATTTTGCATACTATTGTCGAGATAATTTAATGGAGATTAATTCCATACTTTTAAAAAATTGATTTACTGCAATAGAATTGGAAAAAAACACCAAAATAGGTCAAAAAATTTTCCCGTCCGTTATGTGTGAAACCCCCGAAACACTGTAATAACTTGTAAAAAAATCCATTATTTGAGTTAAATTTTTAACTTCCCGCTAAGAAAATAGAAAATTTTCTAAAATCGGGAAGTTATTGTTTTTACCCCGTTTTTCGAAAATCGAGGTTTCATCAGATCTCGACGTTTTGAGGTCCTAGGAAGCTTGTCTGACTATTCCCGCGATGGTGTCCGTGCGGCTGTATGT